ACAAGCTTGCTTGAGCCGGACCAATCAATTTAGATATCACCCTCTTCATCCGCATAACCATGACTTTAGTTACTATCTTGAACAGCACATTACAAAGGCTGATCGGGCGAAATTGTGTAATACTCTCGGGCTTCCCCACCTTCCCAATCAGGACTAACATCGCATCATTCAATCCGTCAGGTAAGATACCGGTCTCAAAAAACTTAGAGACAGACTGCACCACTGAATCTCCAACAACCTCCCATCCTTTCTCATAAAAAACTGGCTGATATCCATCCGGGCCAGGCGCTTTGTACGCTCCCATACTGCGTGCTGCACCCTCAATCTCCAATGGCGAGATCGGCTTACTCAACGCCATCTTTTCCTCTCGGGTGAAACTCTGAAATCCGCTGTGCGGTAGTGCCGAGACAACCTCATCAACATCGTCTAAAGAGTATAAGCGCTTGTAATAGTTTATCGCTAGTTGCTCCAGTTCTTTTGGGTCCGTTACCCAACTCCCCGACGCATCCTTTAATGCTTCAATCCTATTCCTCCTTCTTCGAATAATTGTCGATGTATGGAAAAAGGTGGTGTTTCGGTCGCCTAACACAATCCATTTCTCCCTTGATTTTTGAAACCACAGTGTTTCCTCTTGCTCCAGCACCGTGTCCAACTCTTGAATTAACTCTTCCTCTCTCTTGATCAACGCATCCGTTTGAGTATGTTCTAACTCATCCTGAACCGATTTGATCTCCACAAATAAGCCTTCCTTCCTCCGATTCACATCTCCAAAAATCTCCTTATTCCATCTCTTTAATCTGACCGTAAGTGTAGCAAGCGCTTCCATAGTTGTCAATTCCCTTCGCCAAGATGATTCCAATAAGGCCTTAAAGCTCGGATGGCTCATCCACGCAGCCTCAAATCTAAAAGGTCTCCTCGTCGGGTCCCTACTCACTACCGGGTTCAGCTGGACGAATAGGGGAGTATGATCCGAAGCTAAAAAAGGTAGGTGAGTCACGGTCGCCTCTTGCCATTTCACTCTCGCGTGTGCGCAACAAAGCACTCTATCCAAGCGTTTAGCCACAAAATTCCGATGTTCTTTCCCCCTCTTCCAAGTGAAACGATTGCCACGAAATCCCATATCAATCAACGATTCTTCATTAATCCAATCACCAAATAACAATGAATCTGGTGACAAATTCCCATTTCCCCCCACTCTTTCAACTAAACGGACTATGGTGTATGAGTCTCCCCCAACAAATAAAGGTCCATCGATTCCTTGAATCTCATCATGCAGAGTAGCCCATAAGCCATTCCTCCTACTCACTGATGGTGCCGCATAAACCGCAATTATATGCATTATCTCCGACTCATTCTCCACCCGAGCGTGAATGTATTGCTCCGAGCTCCCAACAATCATCACATTACCTACTTCTGATCTCCACAACAACCAAAGACCACCACTCTGCCCATTAGCGTCAATTCTAAAAACGTTAGAAAACCCCAAACTTTGACAAATTCGACTTGCACTATCGCCTCCTGCGTGCGTTTCAAAGATTGCTAGTATATCAGTCTGGAACCTCTTCAGCATATACCTGTGAGAAGAAATATATATATTAGGTAGAAGGCCTGTGAGAAACCTAAACCCAAGCCCATAGGCCATAAAACTCTACATCATCTACTTTTTTTCATCAGCAACATCATCGTCTTCGTCAGACGAATCATCCTCTTCTCTAATCTGATTTTCAGTCTGGTTCTCCTCTTCTGAAGAGGATGCAATCTGATTTGAATCTGGATCCTTTTGTTCACGCAGGCTAAAACTGTTGTAGTGGTTACCGTTATGGAATGACTTAAAACAGAAAATTTCTAAAATTAGTTTATAGCAAAATTTTTGGTAAATTTAAGTAAAAAGAGTGTAAACATACAAACAAATAGTTTCAGTGCTTCTACCTGCTATGGGAAGGAAGTGTCGTGGCTCTAGAGAATTTTTCTGCTACAAATTTGGAAGTTAGTTACAGTATTTTCTCTTAAAAAATAGAACATACATTGACTTAATTGGAAATACTTATTACTTACCGCGAAAACATATATGTTTTTTTGGAATAAACGAGCTGCTGCAATTAATTCTGGTTGTCCTCCCCAACTTCGAAGCTTCCGCATGTCCTCACAATAGGTGTCTAAGTCTTAGATGCTCATGACATGGGACATTGAGCCATTTTTGTGCAAAATTTGTATGTTCTTGCACTTCTTCTAGTTTTATTTTACATTTTATTAATGATTATAAGTTTTTTTTTGTTTTTAAGATTATTCATCCAAACATAGATGTTGAAAAAATGTTAACATGGACATTGTAGGTATAAAATGGCAACCGTTGATCGTCATAAACATTTACCTTATTATATTTGATTGTATAATAGTACATATTAAAATTTCTCATTTTGTATTCATTAAACATACTTTTTTTTGCTTTCATTTTATGGTGATAATGTTAAATATTTTTTTAGGCAAATGAAATATATTTGATGGAAAAATGTAAGAATAATTTCTGTTGTACAAACAAAAAAAACAAGGAGAGCAAGCGAGAAAGCTTTATTATAAAATTGAATAATTCCAAAAATAAAGTAATTGATGCTTTAAAGTTACCTTTCCACTATTGGGAAAGCTCATTGCTGTTTTAGATAGCCTAATTGTTAATAATCATAACTTATTATATTCTTAATTATTTATATTAATTCTATATGGTTTACATCGTAAAAATGTTATAAAAATAAACATGCGAGAACATATACTTTTTCTTTGTCGGCATGTAAAATCATATACATGTATCAATATTATTATGTACTTCTACTGAAAGTATTAAACCATTTAGGTGATTTCTGTGAGGTTACTACTAATAAAATATAATATTAATTATTAATTTGGTCATATGGTAAATGCTGGTAATTAAAAGCAAAGTGAATGACCGACCGTGAGTGCGAAGGTCAGAGGCAGAAGCTTGTCACTGGAAACCAAACCCAGAAACGAGATTTTTAACCAGTAAAGTAGATATTGAACGACGGAGAATCTAATCAGAATTCCAGAAGTAGAGAGCTCACAGGAAGATTGAAGAAGAGGACAAAAACGAAGTCAGGCAAAATCAAAAGCCGTAGGTAAATATTTGTTTGTCTATGTTTGGCTAACCAATTTGGCTCTGATTCGTTTCAAGGTTATGGTAGATTTGAGGCTGGAACAATCTAAACCGAGAAGAAATCAAATTTCGAAGTTTAACCAAAAATGTGAACTACTTTTGTCACGCCGCTACAGAACAGAACTAGAGAATTGAAGCACTGGTTTTCTCAGCATAAATAGAAATAATTAATTCTTGGGGAAAACTTTTTTTTACCTGAACATTCAGTAACCTTTATATTTTCCTCGAATTCGTATATACAAGCACACCCATAGTTTAGGGAAGTAAAATCTAATTATTAAAAGGGTGCTTATAACTTCCAAAATATGGATTTGGTTCTATGCCCTTATAAAAATGATGATACATACAATTGTTGAGTTTTTAAGAGACCACTTAGACGAGCTGAACCACGGCAGCGACTCTAAGAGCACCATTCTGGAGAAGTTCAGAGAGCTCATCGAAGAGCAGAGCGGTGCGCCATCCCCACCCTTTGGGAGCTTTGGGCAAAAGAGTTCCTCTTTGTTTGAAGCTCCCAAACAACATCACTTCTCTTTTCGACGGGCAGATCAGCTGCAACGAACAGAGAAGATTGTATATAATGAAGTGTGTTGTTACAGAAACCAATCATTTTCGACACAATATAAACGTTTTGTAATACGGGTTTGACAAGGAAACTATGATTTAGATGCATCACCTAAGAGTTTTTTAATTCCACATAGAAAGATGCATAACTAAATATCAATGAGAACTTGCAAAGATACC